TAAAGTCCCAAAAGGTCCCTGTGTAACAAATGATAAAAATTTTTTTTATATATTTTGCTTGCTAAATAATAATATTAGGCAATTATATACAATCCTACACTAACTATCTTTTTTTCTTTTTCCTTTCAAGTTTTCAGGAGAAATTTTAAACAAAGCTTCTACCATTTTATCAAAATCTTTTTTTCTAACCTTTGCTACACTTGGCTGAATGGGTAATTAAGGACTTTTTCATATACTAATATTTTAACTTTTAAGAGATTATACATGACAAAAAAAGATAAAATAATAATATTATGATAGTAGATTTATTTGCCTCATTTTTTATAGCAGGGATGTTCCCTAAAAATATTGGTTTGTGAGTATGGGCTCTTTTCTGACCTCTTATGTTTGGTTATTGGGTATATAGTTTAGTTAGATTAGGTAAAAATAAAAGTAAGGGTGGAATGTGAGCAGTATTATTACTTGGTATTTTCCTATCTTTCTTTTTCGCTTGTATAGCAAGTATGTTTATTAGTAGTGATAAAATTGATGATACAGAGAGAGAGAGAGAGAGAGAGAGAGAAATTAACCCCTTGGAATTATTGATGTTTAAAACTTGTTTAAGAAGTTAGTTTTTCAGTGAGAGGTCAAGTTAACATGGGCAACCGCTTCTCAGTGTTTTTGATTCTCGGCAGGTTATCAATTGACCCCTCACTCAAAAACTAATTCCAAAAAAAGAAAAAAAAATTCCATTTCCCTCTTTAATAATATTGCCATTGAAAATTAAGACAAATGAGAAAACGACTAATCTCAAATGAATGGAATAGAAGAATAAATGTTGCTAGACACCATATTAATCTACTCTAAAAGATTAAGGTTAGGGAGGGCTTCAGGCAGATGTCTAGCCTTTTAGAACCTTACACACCTACCAAAACCTTTTACAGTAGTTAATACTTTTTAATCTTATATATATTTTACGAAATTAACTCACTATAACTCAAACTTTTACCTATGCTTGACATAAGCATTAAATCAAATCTCTCTTTTTCCTTATATTTTCTAGTATTAAATCTTAAAGTAAACGCATTAAGATATCTTTGTAAGTGCTTTTTACTTACTCAATGATAGGTTCCAGTGATGGTTCTTTTTAAGTGAGACCATACATTCTCAATAGAGTTAGTGGTAGCATTACCATTTACATATTGCTTAATTCTATGGTTAACTATTCCATGCTTAAACCATTTACTTAAATCCTTATAAGCCTTTCATTCATCATTATAAACATTAGCATTTTCCTTAATGTTTTTTCTAATTATTGGCTCAATAATTTCCTGTCTAGTATTTTGAACCACTTGGGCTATGAGGTTGCCATTTCTCTCTAATATACCTAATACTGGCATTTTATCTTTTCAACTCCTACCCTGTGAATTAGGAACCTTTTTATCTTTGTGTCTATTCTTATTCTTACCACCAATAAAGGTCTCATCAATTTCTACACTGTTTTTTAACATGGTTTTAAATTCAGGGAGGTCAGAAGCACAGCGTAAGTGATGTAATACGAACCATGCTGATTTTTGAGTAATATTTAACTTTTTTGCTAATTCACAAGATGAAATACCCTTTTTATCAGTGGAGAGCAAATACAAGGCTAAAAATCATTTTTGTAAGGATATATTTGAGTTTCTAAATATTGAACCAGTTTTGATAGTGAAATATTTGCCAGTATTCTTACACCTATACTTATTATTAGCACACTTATAAACCTTGGAATTAGGGTCATAAGGAGATATTACTTTTCCTTTTCATCTCCTTTTTTCAAAGTAATTAATACATTCTTGCTCGGTGGGGTAAGATTTTAGGAAATCAAAAAGGCTTTCAAGGTTTAGGGGCATATACTAGTTTTGGTGTAAAATTCTATATAATTACCTAATATTATAATAATAAATAGTTTTAAAAATATTGATTTTTCATTTGCCAAATAATTGGCTTTTTATTGAATTCATT